GATGGCTGCCTTGAACCCTTGGGCAAAATGTTGTAGATAGTTGTCTTGACATTGTTGGGGATCTAGTCTTTGCAGTAGCTGCTGCTGTTTTTCTTCAGCTGAGCATCTGTTTATCTACTTCCTTCATAGAATTCTGCTCTCAGAAAATGATGGCAATGGGTCTCATGCTGCCATCCCACACTGGCATCAAGGGTTTTCTGGGTGAGCTTTGGTTCAGTTGGAACTCAATATTACCAGTTGGCTAGGCTGATGGTGAGGTGAAACCTGGCATAAAGAAATGAGTTAAGAAATAGGGACCATGCAGACTATCTGCTATGGAAGTTAGTGTTGAACTGCCGAGGGAAATAGAGACAGGCAGAACACCTTACGTGTCTTTGTTTGAGCTGCTATAACAAAAATGCCATCGATTGGGCGGCTTAGGCAATGAACATTTATCCCTGACAGTTCTGGAGGCTGAAAAATCCAAGAGCAATGTAACGTGCTGGCCAGTTCAGTTTTGGTGAAAGTCCACTTCCTTGCTTACAGATAGATGTCTTCTTGCTGAATCCTTACATGAAAGAGGGAGACGGAGGAGAGAGGGAATAAAAGGGACAGTGAGGGAGGGAGGGAGAGAGATAGGGAGAGAAAGGACGTTGTCTTATTTCTCTTCCTATAAGGGCACTTACCCCATCATGAAGGCTCCATCCTCATGACCTAATAACCTCCCGAAAGCCCCATCTCTGAAAACCATCACATTAGGAATTAGGTATTCAACATATGGATTTAAGGGAGATGGAAATATGCAGTCTATAATACTTAGGTCACATCTTGAATTTTCCAGAGCAAATGAGAGCACTTCACCAACCACTAATCAGTGGACAGAGCAGTTGGTATTTGGTCAAGGTGTCTCAGACTTTGGATAAGGCTACCATGAGGTGGTGAGGTCCTAGTCAAGGTCTTGCAAATGGTGGTGGTGCTACTGGTAAAGAATGTGCCTGCCAATGCAGGAGATGTGAGAGACATGGGTTTGATCCCTGGTTCAGGAAGATCCCCCTGGAGGAGGGCATAGCAACCCACTCCAGTATTCTTGCCTAGAGAATCCCACGGTCAGAGGAGCCTGGTGGGCTACAGTCCCTAGGGTCTCAAAGAGTCGGACACAACTGAAGCAACTTAGCATGCACGCGTACACCATGAGGTGGTCAGGTCCCAGTCAAGCTCTTGTAAGTGAGCGAGGTGCCCATGCCAGAGCCCTCGTCCCCTACCTAGAGTCAGCAGAAAACCCCAAAGCCTGTGACAGTTCTAAATGCCCTGGATACCATCTCATGATGGAGTCGCTCATCCTTGCTTCCTCCTTCTGTGGCCCTGGCCCACTCCAGACTAACTAAAGACAGGTTGTCTAGCCTGAAGATCCAGTTAAAAGGACTTGAGCAAATATATTATATAGGCCTTGGTTTTAATCATTCTAGATGGCAAGAAGAACACATCAACTACCTGAGCTTTATGGCAACAATGGAGCTCTGAACTAGCTACAGATCTGTGCTCTACGGTAAGTGTTGGGGGCTCATCACTGAACACTAGCCAGACCTTGGCACCACCTGATTGCCACACAGGACAGTTTGGGTAGGCAAGGCTTCCCTCAAGGGTAGAATTTATTTTTATTTTTCACTCATCTCAAAGTATGCGAAGAATGAGAGAATGGTACATTTTTTCTGCTTATCACATGCCGTAAGAATGGCACATGGCCCAGGAAGCTGCAGCCACTACATCTGAGTCCAGGGGTTCTGAAATGCTGCAGCTTTTTACATTTATTTTCCTAACAGTTTTTGACCATTTCAAGTTAGAAGCTTCTGAAAAAGAGGATGTCTTCTCCTTTCTACTAGCTGTCACTGTACCTAGAAGAGTGTTCAAGGCTGATTAAATAATTGCTGACTATTTAAAAGAAAAACCCTTTTGCAGACTGTCGACTTAACAGATGTCTCTCGTGTTTTTCATTTCTCAAACATGACACGTGGGTGGATTTGGCCTGAAAAAAGGAGAAATTTCAGTGATATCAGTGCAGCAATTTTTCAGGGCTCCATTATTTTCTGATGCTCACTTTTCTTGTTGTCAGAACTGAAGAAGCACCAGCTACACATACATCAAGATAAGAGCTGTGTTTCCATTAATGAAAAGGGAGGCTTCGCTGGGAATAAAGGAGTTTTTTTTTTTTTCATTATAAATGGTAAAAGGGAATTTGTTTCAGGGTCTTATCTGGCTTATGATCATCTGGACAGGCTTACAGAGAGAGAAATGTTGGTGTTTCTTTTCAAGACAAAAATTGCTTTTTCATTGCATTGAATGTGTTGCAGCTGCTTAGACACATGGTTCTGAAAAGCAAATAGAGTGAGCCTGCCATTGGACCTAGATATACAAAATAGTTTTGTTATTTTTTTTTTTAAAAAGAACTGTACTTAGTGCAACCAGTTGGTGAAAATCAAGAGGACTTTCAAAACCTACATGTGATTGCCTGAACGAACAGCATCCTACAATAACCAGAGGCTAGCACAGTTAATAAGTCAGTGTCCATTCTCATTAAGAGAAACAGAACAGGAAAAGTGAGAGAACCACATTCCTCTTTTCTAATGTGGGACCGAGACTCCAAGAGAGAACAAAGTTCACCTAGACTGCCAATGCCAAAACCAGCAGTCATCTGAGGCATCTGATAGATGCACAACTTGCATGAACTTATGGCCACGTAGATTCCTCCCTCTGGCTCCCTCTGAGCTCAAGCTCATGGACTTTTCTCCAGTCTGCAGACCACCCAGAACTATGATGACATCTGACTGCTGCCTTGTCTCAAGGAAGCACTTCGAGGGAGAAGACGATGCCTTTTCTACCTTCTGACTCTCAACATGGTGTTTTGCAGATGCTAACAAACTTTCACCAAGCAAATGAATGAATGAGAGAATGGGCTTCTATCAGTTTACCAGAGTGTGATGATCATCACTACAGGTTGTTCTCTTTGTGTTCATGAAAGAAATATATTTGAATCCCCAGAGCAGCTTCTATTCCCAGGCTGATGTCCATCAGTGAAATATACTATATTCCAAGGGTGCCCTCTGCATGTTAAATGTCCGGTCAGGCCATCCTCTCCTTTCAGTCCCTATTGACTTGATAAACTCCAACAATCTCTTTTGCTTGTGCCTCTCTTCCACTCTCATATTCAAGTATCTTCCTTCTTCAGTCACCTTTTGGTGTTTCCATAACATTCCCTCTATATCCTTTTATCCATTGTAACTTTCTATTGCAAGTCAGAAAACCCAAACCAAAGGCCATCCAGAGCTAGGGCTCTCTTCAAGCTTGAGGCTCAGATGATACCGTGGGGCTTGGTTTTTCTCTTTACCTGCGAACTGTGCATTTCACCATGTTGTCCATAGTCTCTGATGGGCTCTCCCCTCAAAGTTGTAATGTATCTGTAGCAACTCCAGTTTATATTCTAAGATTCAAGTCCAGGGTTAAACAAAGTGTTCTCTCCCCCAGTAGCACCATAATGAATCCCAGAGTGGAGCCTCCCTCGCTCTGACTTAGCCATGTCATACACAGGTGCCAATCACCGTGCCCAGAGGGTAGAACACACTGTTAGGACTAGACTCGGTCTCACATTGCCATGCTGGGCTTCAATGCAATCAACCAAACTCTAATCATGTGAGTTAAATGTTGACTAAGGGTGCTTTCTCCAAAACAAACCCACAGCATTCTCACCTCAAGAAGTATGAATGTCAGGTGACAAAAACAACCGATACCCACTGTCATCGTCAACTTGCTTTCTGGTTTTCTTATCTTTTCCTGTGTCATCAGCACCCACAGGATTCCACACCCTCCCTCTTTTTCTCATTCCTTCTCTACTGACATATTAATCCCTATCAAACACACATCAGTTCCAGTTTTATCCTTGGCTGCTCTCTACCTCTTTAGCAACATTTCTTTTTCTGCCTTCCTTCCCCAGTCTTCACCTGGATTTTAACTCGCCAGCATCGTCTTCAAGAATTAGAATACCTGCTGGTACTAAACTTCTTACCAGAACTGTAACAGCTGCTGGAACTGTTTGCTTTCTTGGGTGACCACAGAATCTCCCTCATTTTTCATCAGCTTTTTCCTTCTGTTTCTATAACCCCATCAAAACCAAATATACCCAGGCTTTCCCATCCATCTTAGAAAACAAGACAAAACCACTTTCTCTCAGCCTTGGCAGCGAGCCCACCTCCACCCTTCTCCTTCCTGTTTTCTGTCTCCTCCCCCCATCACATTCTCACCCCATCTCAACCCCTCCAGGCTTAAGCTCTCTCAACCTGTCTCTGCTTTCTTTCACCAAACTCGTTTCTTACATCTCTGAAGTTCTGTTTCTGGGGCTGTCTCCTTTCACCACCCTCCCCAAATTTCCTCATAGTCAAAATATTTGAGTCGTCTCTCTCCCTCATCTTCCACATCCAAACTGCCCTTGGAACTTTTCGAGTAGACCCTCCAAGAGTCCCTGAGCACCATCCCCTCCTCTACGTTTCTTCCACTATATCAAGAGCTTTCTCAGCTCACCTGTCTCCCTTGTTCCAGTCTCTCCATCTTTTAATTTGTCCTTCCATCCAATGCTCAGAACTGATTTGTGAAATACTCCCTTGCTTTAACAACTTACGGTGAGCCACGGGATGAAATGTACGTGCTCTGGCTCTGAATTCAAGACCATTCACCCTGTGCCCCCACCTGCTTTCTAATTCTAGAGACACTCTCCATGCCCATTGCAGCTCTCTGCAAAACTGATCCCTCCACAATGTTCTCATCTTCCCTCTGCCGACTCTGCCTCTGGAGAAGCCCTAGTCCTTCTCCAAGGTTGGCCACAGGGTGAGCCCCTCCCCTGCAGGAGTCTCTCCCCACCTTCCTGACTGCCCTCCTCTAACATTATCACGCTGATTTATTGCTGTTTGTCATTGTCTTTAAGTGCCAGACCAGGATCACGGTGAGGGCTGCCCCGTGCACCACTCCCCACTGTTTCACGCCTGGTGCGGTTGCTGGCACACGCTAGACATGAGGTCTTCACTGCCTCTCCAGCCCCGAAGCTTCACCTGCTCTACATCTCCTTCAGGCCCCAAAACATGGCCTTTGTATTTCTCATCTGTCCACTGAGGCCAACCCACTCGGAGCGAGAATCCACAGAGCCCTCCACACTTCTTCCTGGAAACTGAACCCTGCTTCCAAATAGTCGCTCTCAGGCTCTGGTCTCGCCCCTTCTTCACATCGAGCTCTGTTCCCTCCACCTGCGCACAATTTCATTTATCTAACAAGTGCGGATTTTTTGTTCAACATTCTTTTATTTAATAAATATCATTTGTCCCTGGGGATTCTGCTATCAAAGGGATCGACTCACCATTCCCTCATGGTCCCCACACTATGTCCCCTTGCAACAAGGAATCAACAGTTAGGTGACTTTTCACAGTTCCCACTACCTGGTAGGGTTTTTCTCATGTGTGTGTGTGTGTGTGTGTGTGTGTGTGTGTGACAATCTCTCCAGAATATATGCCTCTCTCTCCATATGCATAGCTAAATAGGTGCTTTACTCCTTGACCACAAACCCTATACAAACTAAGACTAGCATGACTTTGCCATTTACCAACCAAATCCGGACTCTAGGACAGTCAACAAAGGAGCTATTAAAAGCTCCCCCTGGCAGCAGGTATAAACTGGGACCTTACCTGGCTAATGAGTACATCTGACCTCCCCAATATCTTTGGTTTTACTTCTAGAATTTTTCCCCTATGCGACCCACTGCTTTAAATGCCTCCCCCAATATCTGAGGTTGCCAGCATCTCCTTACTCTTCAGGGAAGCCTCAGTCATTCCCACTGCTTTCATCTTCAAATGTTCATGTTTCATGTTCATCTTCCTCCGTCTGCCACAACTCTGCTTGATCCTAATTCTTTATTCGTTCAGCTGTAAGCAGACACTGGTGACTGATCTTTTTTTACATCTCTTCTTCCATCCCATCCTCACCTGTAAGAATCACTTTCCCTTCTTCAATGGACTTTTCTCCTCCTAATTGAAAACTCAGCCTGAAGTCTTCACCTTTATCAGGAATTTGTCATGACTGTGAAGAATAGGGGAGAAAACACTCTCATCCAAAGCCAAACATTAACCTCCCCCATTTACTTGGATCCTATATTATTGGCAAGAAAGAAACCCAGAGAAATTAAGGAGGGGTGGAAATTAAGGTATTTGTCCACATAATCTCTTTTACATTTTTATCTTATTAGTACTTTGCACAGAAGACTCATGCCTTCTGTTTCAGACACTAGTACGTGGGTATCTTGACAATAACAGTATCAAGGATGTGGAGGGTCTTCTCAAATAATTAATGCACATTTAGGGACAGCTTCTTACCTTTTTAAATCAAGTTGCCCCAAATGGTATCCAGGGGCTCAGAACTACCGGAAAATATTGATAGTTTTCTGTCCTCGGGAGCATTTTTTCACAAATTTTTTTAAGTCCGAGGCTTTGGGGAGATGGGTGGCCATTCCGACGGGTGTCTGTCTACGCCTCATCTTCCAGCGGAAGCTGCTCCCTCTTCTGGTCAACAGCGAGGGAACGTGCCGGGGAAGGACCGACCTCTCCCGTTCCCCGGAGGGCGCTGAGATGGGGTGTGAGAAAGACGGTTCATTGTACTTTGGCAAGAGGAACGGCACAGATGTGAGATAGGCTCAACTCAATTATCGCATTTGGTTTAATCAGCTTTCTGAGGCTTGCAGTCTCATCAGAGACGCAGCGATTGCTCACCATCCTTCTCAGCAACCCCAGAGAGCCGAGCACAACTCCGTCCTTCCCCAGAAGATCCTGGAGTCTGCCAGCGCGCTGGACCGCTGGAGTTCGGGCCCACCCCCGAGCTCCGCACCGAGGAGCCCTGCCAAGCCCCAGAGGAAGGAGACGGCAGTTCGGGTCATTAGAAAGACTTGCCAAAAAGTGCTCAGAAAATGAACAATTAATTTCGGCTGTCAAAACAGATACTAGAGGAGCCCAGTTAGATTTCAAGCATTTTTCTCTCCACCAGCAAATCCAAGGCTTTGTCGGTGATAAGAGATGGAGCAGATTTTAGGGATGTTTGTGAGACAATATTACATAGTGGTTCAGACTGCTGTGGGCTGTGGGATCAAATTGCCTGGTGTAGATCCCAGCTTTGCTTCCCCCTCACCCACCCTCGCCCGCTGTCTCCTCAGGCATTTAATTTAACCTCTCTGAACCTCGGTTTGCTTATCTGTAAATTGGGGATGGTGGAAGTAGACAGCAGGAAATGCGGGGAGGGGCGGATTCGAGGAAGACACTTAGCTTGGCTTCTGCATGCAGTGAATAAATGGTTGCTGGGGTTTGGGGGTTGTTTTTTTGGTTTTTTTTTTTTTTTTGCTTTTTTTTAAATCATTATTGGTGGTGGTGATGTTATCACACAAAAACTCCTGCTTCTCTTGGAAGTTAACGGGTTCAATTTGTTTGTTCCCTCTTCCTGAAATGATTAGTACTTTGCCCAAACTTCAGAAAATTTTCTGAAAATCAGTTCCTTTGGGGAACCCTCACTGGTAAGCAGCAATTTATTGACTCAGTAAAAATGTTCCCCACGAATGTAAAACCTCAAAGAAAAGAGAAGTATTTTTGTTGTCGCTCTCCCCCCGGTGAGGCTGCAGGGTCGATGACACATACATAAGTAAAATGGAATTTGAAAAGCAAGAGGCAGGGTATTTTGAAAAATTAAAAGTTTCTTATAAATCCTTACAAAAATGCATCTGTGTCAACACAATAAAAGTAATATCCCAGCCTACTGGTTTTCATCTTCTAGTCCTGGGTAAGCCCTAGCTGGTTAACCCTTCCAGTGCTGGTCAGAGGATAGGAAACCCAGCTGCTACTGCTCTTCAGGGCAAGTAAGTGAGCACTCACCCTTATCTTCTGTAACATGAGCTTTCTCCCCTCATGGGGTCACAGTTTTTTCCAGACAATTGAAGCAAGCAGTATCTGACAGTACATTGTACAATAACACTAAACAATATTAAAAATAAATCATCGTCATAATTGAGAAAATAGGCAATTCTTTTTTAATATGGAACATAGAGAATAGATTTGTGAATGCCAAGGAGAAAGGATGTGGGAGAGGGATGGATTGGGAGTGAGTTTGGATTAGCAGATGCAAACTGGTATACTAGAATGGATAAACAACAAGGTTCTACTCAATAGCACAGAGAACTATATTTAGTATCCTATGATAGGCCATAAGGAAAAAGAATGTGTGTGTGTGTAACTGAGTCACGTTTCTGTACAGCAGTAACACAACATTGTAATTCAACTATATATCTCAATTTAAAAAAGAAAAAAAAATTTTTTAAAGCTAACCCTACATTCCTGGCTACTCTTTCTCTATTTCCAGTGATAAGTCCCATACTTCTGGGGAGAATTTGTACTGATATTCTTCTTAAAAACCAGTATCCTCCCAATATCCACATGCTACCTCCTTCCATGACCACAGAAACTGTTTTATTCCCAGCAATTATGTGCCCAGGTAAAAGACTACATTTTCCACCCTCCTTTGTAGCCAGGTAAGATCACACAGCTAAGTTCTAGTCAGTGAGATGTGAGTAAAAGTGTTATGTGAAACTTTGGAAAGGGTCCGTAAAGGTAGCTGACATTGCTAGGATTCGGGTGCCTTCATTTTTGTATTTCTTTCCCTTTCTTGCCTACTAGAGCATGGATGTGATGACTGGAACTCCAGCAGTTATCTTGAACTATGTGGCAAACTTGAGGATAGAAACCACATTTAAATGATGAAAAAAATTTCCTAATGACTAAGAAATCATTATATCAATATCATTATATCAACCCTGGAATGTCAAATTCAAAATTTTATTTTTTCTCAAAATTATGACAAACTATCTGGTTTGAGTCACTGTTACTTGGGGCTTTCTGTTTAAAGAGATGAACCTGATCCTGATATATTTTTGGCCCTAGAATGAATTCTCTGCATTGACTTATCTAATGATGCTTACTGCATTGTGCTCCAGTGATTTTAGCAAGTCTTCTCTTCTACAGAGATCTTCCCATTAAGTCATTCCTATGCATCTGGCATGGAGAAGGCAATAGCACCCCACTCCAATACTCTTGGCTGGAAAATCCCATGGATGGAGGGGCCCGGTAGGCTGCAGTCCATGGGGTCGCTAAGAGTCGGACACAACTGAGCGACTTCACTTTCACTTTTCACTTTCATGCATTGGAGAAGGAAATTGCAACCCACTCCAGTGTTCTTGCCTGCAGAATCCCAGGGACGGGGGAGCCTGGTGGGCTGTCGTCTCTGGGGTTGCACAGTGTCGGACACGACTGAGGCGACTTAGCAGCAGCAGCAGCAGCATGCATGCATCTGGCATATGATAGAGGCCAAAAATGTACTCATAATTCTTTCATGAATAAATGATTGTTCCTTAGGACCAGCTTGTTTGGACTGTCATTTCTATTGCCAGTCAAAAATGAACACAGAGTTCAAAAATATATCCAAAAGCAGTATAATAGTGATGATGATAATCAACAATAATTGCCAATATCTTCTAAGTACTAGTTCATTTGTTAAACTGGAAAAAAAAAAAACCTATAAGCGAGTTAAACATAGGTGTGTGCACATTTCTATGTTATAGCTCTGCCTATGGTCCACACTTGCAGATGGCACATATTATCAAAAGAAGCCATGTCATTTGGTGCCATGATCACTGAAAGCTCCTCCTCTTTATCCCCACAGCCACACCCACCTGAACTGGCTTCTGAACATCTTGCTGAGCATACTTTTGGGGAGAAATATTTGTTCTCTAGTCTACATTTGAGCAAAATAACATATGAAGCTACTGAACCCTCAAAGCTTGGTTCATGAATGAAACTCCGCTGTTAACAATCATTAAAGTTTATCATTTTGCCCATCTGTAGAGTAAAGGCCAAAGTGTTAAATAATGAATAAGGTAGACTGTTTGCGATGTGGGGCAAAAGATGCCATTTGAATGCTGAGGCATTATTCACAGAACTTCACAGAAACCCTACTGGAAACATCCAAGTAGTGGAAGACTGCTCTTGGTTCTGTTTTTTATTATAGACGGTGTCAAAATTATCAGTGACACTATAATTTCTTGGAGTTACCTGGTCTTTTCATTTATCTTATTAAAGTTCTTTGGTCCAGAGGCTAAGGAGCTTTTGGTTCTTAATTATGTTTAGCCTGACTAGTTCTTACTTCTATCCACTGACCCCTGATCAAGAGCCCAGGTTAGCAAAGCATTTCAATCAAGTATGGCTTGGAACCTACAACTAACTTGAGTTTATACTTATTTCCCAGCATGGATAAATGACACTTAAAAGTGATATTCTCATGGTATATACCATGACATTGTCTAAAATAAATGAATTTTTAGCAGTGACTGCCAGCATTTTTTGAGTCAGAGTGTACATTGCATCTGAGAATGTCTGTAGAACATGGTGGAACACAGAGAGAGTCTGCTTTTGGGTCGAGGTGATCTGCTAAAACTTTGGTTGCCACAGATCCAGTATCTCAACACAACTGTAATCCTTCCAGGCCCATTGATTGCAAAGCTCAGAGTTATAACATTATGCACGGTAATGCATACAGTACATGGAATATATAAAGATAGAGAATATATCCATGTGCATGTAATAACAGGCTTATTTATACATCTATATGTATGGCTAGATATACATTCAGCATAATATGAACACCTATAGTAAGAGAGCTAATGTTGAGATAGGATCCTCCACATATGCTGTTTCCCTTATCAGCACTTTCTCACAGGAGGAGGAATTCCTAATCTGATCTGTCAAAGTCAACCGTTTGCCTTCCCAGTGAACATTTTCCTTAATAAGTGCTTGTTCTTGTCTTTCAGTTTAACTGTCGTTTTTTCTGCAGTTAAATAGCTAAATCAGGCTTGTGTGCATTTCCAGCTCTGGAGGATGGGAGTAAAGGGTTTTAGTCTTCCCAGCCTCAGCCTGGTTCTCTAGTCAGGCTTTTATTGTAGAGCCTGCGCTTCTCAACCATCACTTTAGGGACACTTGGCTTCCATTGTGGTTTTAACTCTACTCTACATGAGGAGTACTCAGGGCTAGGAAACCTCCAGGGAATAGGAGGCATAAGTGATGGGATTGGATCTATGGTTGTGATATCGCTCCGTTCTCCAGAAGATCTTCCAACCCAGAGATCAAACTCAGGTCTCCTGCATTGCAGGCAGATCCTTTATCATCTGAGCCACCAAGGAAGCCCCCCTGATCACAAGACTACTTGTTGCCTAACCAAAGGATGGCCACATGCTATATAGAGTAAGACTACTTTCCCTAGTCTCCCTCAAAGCCAGCTGTTGGTATGTTCTGGTCAGTGAAAATTAAAGAGAAATGTTTGGGACCTCTGGCCAGGCTGCTTAAAGGGAGCTGAACCAGCTGGGAAAGTCCTTTTTTCCCTCTGGCTGTTTTCTTTCCTTTGACTTCCAGTTGGGATGTGATTGCTGGACTCCAGCTGCCATCTTGGGTCATGAGGTGACCTTGAATATGAAAGACATGAGCTAGAATGATGGAGCAAACAGACAGGAGTCTCAGACTCTGAAGACACTGTGGAATCCTCATTAAACCCTGAACTGCCTATCATTAAACT